GAGTTGGATGGGGGGCGGGGCGGGGCTTCTCAGGTGTCCCATCTGTCTCTCCTGCCACTCCCTGTCCATTTGTCATGTTGATACTGGGGAGACGCATATGTTGCTATGATGCTGAACGCTTGATCACCAGTCTTTCAAATACCGGGATCCAGGAGGTGATTACCCCATGAGCAAGCTACACGCTCCTACCTGTTCACTGCAGAAGAGTTACGTTGTTGTTCGGTGCTGCAGCATCCGCTCCCATGCATTGCCACCCTATGCACAACCGAAGGAAACACTGCCTGGCCCTGCGCCATCCTCACAACTAGTCCCAGGTTTGAGCCCATGGTTGTAGCCACTGCATCAGTCCATCTCCTTGAGGGTCTTTCTGGTTTACCAAGTCTTACATGAGGTCCTTCTCCAGGGACTGGTCTCTCCTGAGAAGATGTTCCAAGTCCTTGAGACGCATCTTTGCTTCTAAGGAGCGTTCTGGCTGGGCCTCTTCCAGGACAGGTTTACTTGTTCTCTTGAAGTCCACACGGTCCACAGTGCAAGTGTCTCCAGATGAGCCCGTGCCAGCTTTGCTTCTCGGCACTCCGTCCCCGTCAGGGTTGGTGAACTTGAAAAGCAGCTCCGATTCTGTAGGCAGGTGCTGTGGGGTTGTCAGAGAGACAGATGACAGCCAAGCTCAGAAGCAGACTCTCTGATGTGACGGCAACATGGGGAAATGTTTGGTAAGGAAGCCCAAGCCACCCTGTGCCTCTCTTGCCTGCTATGTAATCCGTTCCTGCGGGTTATCTCCAGAGGTCATGAGGGCTTTTTTGTGCCACTTTACTTTTAGAGAAGACCCACATTCATGTTCTGGTTTTGAGAACTGAAAAACAAAGAAGATATTTGCTTTCATGGAGAGAAAAAACCATGAAAAGCAAAAACTAGCCAATGAGCTGTTTCAGGTTTGCTTTGGGGTGAGGCACTACAGGCAGCCCACACCCCAAGCAGCAAGAGGGGCATCACCAAGCCCCGACCCCAGGCAGTGCATTCAGCATTTCTCTGTCAATATATGTTGTATACCTCGGGCTTCTCAGCAGAGATCAGCCCTCTACGTTACACATGCAGTTTTATGTCTGCAGCATGTTTTGCATCTCCTACAGTCATCCCAGGGAACATCCTACGACTCTTCTCTCCGATGGACAGACAGGCAATCTGAGGCCCAACATCACAACTTTACAGGACAGGTGCCCCTGAATTTCTGTTTCTTCCTTTGGATGCTGAGCATCTCCTAAATTGTAGTAAAACTCCCTGCTCCTCACACTGCAAAAACTCTCGGAAAGTCATAAAGGATTGATGGAGAAGCCCCACTGCAAGTTGCATACAGGGTACAAAGTAATGATCTCATTACAGGAAAATCTATAGCTTTGGGCCAACTCCCCTCAGCCGATAATTACAGGTACCCAGAGGGTCTGGTGCTGGTTGTTGGCACAACACAGACATCAATGGGTTGTGAGTTTTGTTTTGCTCTTCCAAGTAGCTGGGGGAGAAGAGCGGCTAACCAGCTGTGCCTTTTCTGCCTGCCATCTGTTTCAGATTCTTTCTTTGTTTTGTTCATTCATTCTTTCTTTTTTATACATCGTTTTATTGGGGGCTCTTACCTGCTTAAGATTCTTAATGGCCATACTGTGGCCTTCAGGGTAGATTCCACCTCAATGCAAGGAAAACAAAGATCCTTGCCAGTGGACAAATAAGCATTGTCGTGCTAAATGGAGAGATATTGGAAATTGGTAAGAGAGGATTTCGTTGTCATTGGATCCACAATCAATGCCCATGGAAGCAGCAACCCGGGAACCAACTGACACCTTGCCCCGGGACAGTCTGCACTAATACAGTGTGGAAAAGCCTCAGGTGTCGCTCAGCAGGCAGGCGAGCTGACTGAAGCCATAGCATTTTCAGTTGCCTCCTAGGCATTCGAAAGTTGGACAGCGAATAAAGGAGATGGATGGAGGATTTGTGCCTTTGACTTATGACGTTGGTGAGGTCACCAGTTTGAGACCACCAGCTACTTCTCAGGAGACAGGTGAAACTTTCTACTCCCCTGAAGACTTAGTCCCGGAAAATCACAGGAGTTGTTCTACTCTGTTGTCTAGGGTTGGCTTGATTTGTGGACTGACAGGAGGAAGAACAAATCCATCCTGGAGGAAGCGGAGCCAGCAGGCTCCTTGGAAATGACCACGAGGAGAGTTTGTCTCAGTACTTTGGACGTGTCCTCAGGAGGGGCTGGTAAAGGGAGGGAGCTAAGAGGAAGAAGTCCTTCAGTGAGATGGTTTGATAAGTGATCACGTGCAACTGAGCTCAAACCCAGGAATGACTGTGAGGATGGTGCTGGACCAGGCAGTACAGTGAACCCTCGCCACTTCGCGCTTCGACTTCCGTGGCTTCACTCTATCGCGGTTTTTGCGTAACAGCGCATGCTCTGTCATTACTGCCACTGATTGGCTCATACTGTACACGCTTCTGTCTGCATCGCTACATATCAGAGCTATGTATCAGATGCATTTTTGCTTTTGTACAGTGTACTGTAATTGTTTGCGATTTCTAAGAAATTTTATCTAAGCCCTATGATGGCTCCTAAACGAGCTTCTTCTTCTAAGCCTTCTGACAATAAAAATAAGCGCCAGAGGAAGATGC